TGAGAAACCAGATCAACCCGGTCCCCTGTTGTTGGAGCGTTCTGTTCTTTGAGTTGTCTTAGAAATAGTGCTTTCCAAGCTGTTGGAAGGGTAGAGAAGCAGTTCAGTGGCAACAAGGTGGCTCCTTATGGCCAAGGGAAGGGGTAGCAATTGACCATAGAGACCTATTGAAATTGACCTTGTTGCCATTGACCTGCCTTTCTACCTGTTAACCCTCCCACTATTAGAGTGTATTCTAATTCTGAAATTATGGAAAGGCCAGATACCACGACGAAAACTCGCCCAAACAGGGATGCAGCAAACGCAACTCAATTTTTCAAGTATTCTGCATTAATCTAGCATGTGCAATATCCAATAACATACCTGGCCCTTGTTGTTGATATATGGATTGAGGGGCTGAATTTTGTCTCGACATTTGATTGGGAGGTGGTTGCTGATAGAAGGGGGTTGCTGAAAGGAAAAAATGCGCTGTCTCCAAGTAATACCACTCAAACTAGCAAAGCTATAATGCTCTAATGTAAACAGTCCAGTATACCTTGCACAAAGTTCCCGTAGCCTTCATGGGGCATCGCGTATTGTTGGTGAGGTGGGGGCGGTCCGCCACCCTGTTGTTGTTGCTGTTGTTGTTGTTGCTGCTGATGTTGCTGCTGCATCATGGCTGCGTCGTGATGTGATGGTGGCACTGCCATCGGCACTCCGCCTGGTCCACCGTAGACAACCATACCTTGACCGGTAGGCGCCGAGTACATGCCGTACACCTAAACAAGCAGCTGAAATTCATGTCACAAGGTGTGATGTACACTCGAGAACCACTCCTTCTAAGTAATACTACACAACATAATTAAGCATGCATCAATCATCACAATGCCATGCTCGTGCCACAAAATACATACCGGCTGTGCCGTTGCATAAAAATGTGGCGGTGGAGCCGCCGACGCGGGCGCCATGAATTGCTGCGGCGGCGGTGGCCCAACGGATTGCTGCATGGCGCTCGCCTGTTGACCGGGAGAACCGCCTCGTCCGCCCTATGACCACACACAATGACAACAAGTACATTTCCACACTACATTTTCAAGACCACAATCAATTTAAAATCACTTCTAGGCACAGTACGCTCAATAAACACTGCGAAAAGCTATGCGTAATGTAGTCTGATTAAAACGGTTTCGTCTTCATTATCCCTAAACAGTTCTCCTCCAAAATTACAGCATAAAATCCATGAGCCTCAATCAAAATGAGCCAGAACAAGTGGTAGGAGAGATCAAGGCTTTCTTTAGATTCCACAGCGGAATAACAGGGCCGAATCGCTACACTGGCCATAGCTTGACAAAGGACCGATTCAACCCTGTTTGAAAAGCTGGAGTAAAGAATAGGAACAACAGAACATAACATTAATCTGACAATAATCTTTAGGATCACCTTTTCCCCGCCAAGGTATAAATTCTATGGTTTGGAAGAATCCCTGGCAATCCAACTTTTTCAAATTTTCTTGATTTAATTTTAATCTTTTATTGTTTACCAACTTCGACGGATCGTAATATCTAATATTGAGTGGTCCAACCAATGTTCTTTCAACGCTCAAGACACACAATCTCCTTTGATGCTCTCTTTTTTGGCAACAAAGAACAAGCGGCGAGTGAGGCTCAGAAAGGCCTGAAGCGACCTGGGGATCCACTTCCGAGGTTGAGATGTTTGATGCGCGCGCAAGCTTATAATCTTGAGAATGGTTACGATCCATCTAAAGGATGATTGAGGTTCATAGGGACAGATGATCATTTAAAGCGAGCTTCGTCCTCACCGCTGATCTCTCTTACCGATCGGGGGGGGAGGAGGTGAGAAACTGCGCAGCTTCTCGAGATTTTCCTTAAGCCGGGCTCATTTGCGATCATGGGATTTCGCAATGTCATGAAAGAAAAGAAAAATTGAATAACGCGAGTATCTAAAGGAATTCTTGAGACGGCCGCCCTGCGCAAAGCCCTCTGCAGTTTCGTAGAACTAAAGACCTCTACGGCTACACAACGGTGCGTATAACGAAGGATTTGTGGTTGAGCTTCCGTGAAAGCCCTTACTGTAATGGAGTGTGTGGGATGCTGCTGGCTCCTTGTAAAAATTATCAAATAATCGAAAGCGCTGGTAAAGGTGAAACATGCTGTAGCTGTGAACGGCATGCTTATTGAAGCTATTGCACATGGTGTTCGACTTTGACAGGAATCCATAGTTCTGGAGAAATTTGTAGTAGACAGTCACTCGGAGTACGGATTTACTAGTGGTCGAGGTTTTTTGAATTTTCTTGGATAACTACTGGCCGCAGCACTTATACCCACCTCGTGGATTGAAGCCTCGAGAATGCTCGTCCAGCTCTTTGGGGAGTCTCTTTTTATGTGATCTGTTAGCCAGAATGTTTATCTTGAAATTTTTCAAAGATAAAAAAAGAAATGTAGTATAGAAAGAGCATGGTTGCAGCGAACTTCTCACTTCTCAACCTACATAGATACGAGCTATCGTCAAGACCAGAGGAAACATAGGAAGAGGATGAAAGTTGAGATTCCTCGATCTTTAATGCGGTTCCCAACACATCATCAAATTAAGTCTTGTGGAGTGCCAAAGAACCACGACATTCCGAGGAGTGACATCAACATGTGTTGAACACTGGAGAAGACAATTACTATTACGTCTGCACCCCCTCTCAGCAAGTACTGGGTCGTAGTGCTGTGAACGCCTATTTGGGAAGCAACTTATTCAGTTTGTGAAAGAAGTTACACCTGAGAAATTCCTGCTCTTGTGAGGCAAAATTCAAGAAAAGCGAGCCAAATAGAGGAGAGGAGATCAACGATTTCACAAATGCGAGGCTACAGCTCATTAATTCACAACATTTACGCGTTGGTGCTCACCAATCGACCATACAACGGGAAACATTCAATGATAACAATGCATGCGGAACAATGACGGTTGCTGAAACGTGCATGAAACTCAATACCTGTGCCGGAGATGGTCCAGGCGTCGGTGGCTGGCTATTCGGCCCAGTTGAAGCCGCGGCTGATCCAGGTGCTCCTTGAGCTGCAACAAATACCCAAGTAGAGCAACTAACATTTCAAGGAGGACAATTTCTCCATAAAAGCTGCTTACCTTGGAAATGAGCAGCTTCCATTGCTTGGTGGGGAGTTTGTTGCGGAGTGGGAAACCGCGTCTGACCTTGGACACCAGCTTGTGGGAGAACATAACCCTACAATAGACGTAAATTGTTTCTGGCATTTGAACGACAAAATAAAGGGAAAAGAAAGTAATTTACTTGAGCAGGAACAAAACGTTGCGGATAGATGCCTGGTGGAGGGGCAGCAGCCTGAGGTGTGCCCGGCATCATTTGGGGTGGAGGAGCCTGAGGTCCACTGAAACCACCTTGTGGAGGAGGTGGAGGAACCACACCGGCACCACCACCACCAGCTCCACCTCCTTGCACAGAGAATGACTGATAGGCGTACGGAACCTGAAATGGAGAACGAACGAATACTCATATGGTGAATGATTCGCAAGGAACCTCACCATTCCTTGTCCAACTTGCATTACATGCGGTTGCCATTGAGCTGCTGTGTGCGGAACCATCACTAAACAGCGACTTCTAGGAATTCGTCCATCTCTTAATGAAGGAATCCCTTACCTTGTCTTCTACTACCCTGTTGAAATGCGACTGCAGGCGGTCCACCTGGTCGAGGACCTCCCATCGCAATCGGCTGGCTTGGCATCATGCTTACTGGCTGCCCACCGGTCACAACATATTGGTATCCAGGCATCTAAAATGAGCGATAAGCGATTTTTGCATTGCACTTGTCCATCGGTATCACATGCCTGGTACTGTTGACCAGGAGCTCCTTGCCATTGCACGAGGACGGGCGGTTGGCCCGTTTGCATGGTGGGTAGCATGCCAGGAGGAGGCATGGCTGTCTGAAAATCAATAATTAGTCAGGTTTTGTATGAGCAGGGAAACACATTGGGAAACGCTCAAATCAAGAAATTTCTGCAACAATTTCATATTCACTACACTTTGTCAAGATGGAAATAGATTCTACAAGATTTTGATCGAAAGAATCTCAACGAAGAATATAAATTACGATCGCTAACTTTGCACGTTATATAAGCAACATAGCTGCGTCACCTGAATAGGGACTCCAGTCGGAACCATTGGAACAGCGCCCATCATCGCCTGAGGGGGACCGCCTGGTGGAGGCCCAACTTGTTGAGCTTGTTGTAATTGAGCAGATGCACTTCGAGGTTTGAATGCCGGCGCATTAACATTGAAGGTGAACTTTTTCGTGCTGAAACACATTGTTATCGAAGCGAATATTTTAAGCCTCACACAGAAACTAGGAAAAAATTTAATTGGAAAGTATTAAACGAAGATAATAAGTCATAAAACCGTGAAGCAACTGACCCCTCCTCTTTTTCAGTGGTTGTATTCGTCGTTGCAGTGGAATCTGGGGTGGTTTCATGTGAGGCGGCTTGTGTACCAGTAGTGGATGCAGGCGGTGCTGCTGCGGTTGCAGACGAACCTTCGGTCTGTGGAGATGACTCAGTTGCGGAAGATGACGCATCAGCAGACTTAAAACAGCGTACCTATTTGATGGAAGCATAGATACCCTTGCGTACAAAAACAAACGAGACCCACTTGTTAAATAAATGAGAGCACATTCAACTTCATAAACAGAACACTTTCACTGCAAAGCCTCACCTGGTCATTAGTGGAGCTTGGCATAGGCTCCGTTGCGTTCGTTTCAGCGGCATGTGACGGGGAAGCCGGAGTGGGTGTGGCTAAAAATTGCTAATACACGTCATCGAATGCTCTCGCATTGCGATTCCAGTCTCCTGGCAATGGAAACATCCATTCTGACAGAGGCATCAATCTATAGCTAACTCACCCTGCTGTGAAGAGTTGTGCACGTTGGTCACGCTGGTCGGAGGACCCCGAGCCCATGCATTACTGGACGGAACTGCGGGAACTGTACGGGCGGGAGAGTCTCTCGGAGTATCGGCCTAAAAGAACAGACATTTCTCGAGAGGAGACAATTGAGAACTCTACGCTGCATTCTTGCATTATTTATCTGCGTCTCACAAAACAGAAGGTGAGAATCAGTGTCTCTATGAGCTGCGATTTATGCAGAAATAGTCTCTCGGAGAAGGTTGCGGCGAACATTTGAAAGGTTGCGAATTATTGGCTAATGTGGAATCACGCATTGCACTTTCATTCATATTGCAATGGCAGTTGTATGCTATATGGCACATAAAATAATCTGCGGATACCCGCCGATGAGCAACTCTGGCTTTTTATCTTAGATTTCCAGACAAGTCTGGTGCCAATTAACCGATCCTATGGCGATTCAGGCTTGACTTCCACTAGCGCGCTCTTGATCTGGTATAGGAATCCCGATGCGTCAACATGGTAAGCGGCACGGCTGCACCACATTCGTCCCTTTTGACCGACGACTAGTCGTAAGTTATAAAGTATTCAATTACTCCATTTTAATTCTACATAAAAATGAATTTGTCTCATAACGAGAAACACTTTGAACTCCATCTGGCCGGATTCAGAACATCACCGTCATGCTGCTGTGCTGCTAGGACCTGCTAAGGCGAACTGATTTAGTCATTTGATGCTTCAGACGGATCGCCATCTACAAAAACGTGGAAAAGGCTCAAATTTCTTAATTCATCATACAAAACGCGCTTTTAGTACTAAAGCGACTCTCAGAAGAACTCTGTAGTAAACCAACCTCCACCAGCGCCGCATCTCCACTAGGGCAAACAAGAACTGATACGCGCAATATGGGGTGATCTCGCAGTACACATGAAATGCAGAAAGTCATTTGTAACGATTATACCCTCACCTGATTGTTCAGCTTTGGATTTCGCATGCAGACATAGAGCGCTTTTGAATTGATGCTGGCATCGCTTGTGCATTAAAATCAAAATCATTGCCCGAAACAAAGTCCAACTGGCGCTTAATGAGCGGACTATGCGAACTTCCCAGTCTTTTGTCAGCTAGCCGCTGCTAAGCCTAATAACCTGCTCGCTTCACCGACACCGATTCCGCTGTTAAAGCAGGCGTACTACCCCACGTTATGCATAATCTCCACTCCTTTCGCATGGGTGTTGTCCCCCGGGAAATCAACTAAAAATCATTGCAAGAATTGAAGATCATTTCCTTTATCATTTCAATGGAACCCGGTAGGTTTGAGGACTTCACCTGTGAATTCAAATTAGAAAGTCAGGTCAGGCGGAACTTCAAAACTTTCCAAGGATGCCGAGATTCATCCATTCCGAATTTCGTTGCGATAATTTAATTACCAACTATCGCTGACATGCCGACATTATAAAATGGGTCCACATGCATCACGCCTCTCTGCTCAGGACATCAAGCAGATAGCGAGGATTGGTAATAGATATTGGCCTATCGAAAAGTTTCACGCTTGTACATTCTGTTTCAGTGGTTTAGAAGTTCATTTCACAAGAGCGTGATGTGAAGTATGTCCTCAATGTGTTACCCGCAGTCATAATGTGCACCTTGCACAATCTGAACGTGTTTCTGCGCAAATTGAAACCGTTTCCCCGTCTTAAGGCAACTCACGATTGGGAACTTCTAACCATAAGTGCAACCTTTTGGAAATTACGCGTGAAACTACACGATACAATAAAATGGCATGAGCATTCAAACTAGAAATAGGAATAATTTCGGGTCGACAAGCTTTCTTTGGATCACCTTTATGTAACAATGTAAGACAAAAAAGAAAAGGTAGAAAAAGAGGTTATTATTG